TAAATCTTAGAAGCATAAACGAAATATTTGCTTAAGAGTAATAAAGAAAGCCATGAAATTGAGCTCACAGTATCTATATTACTGGCAACATTTTGAGGGAAATGGCTGTTTCAAAGTAGTACTAAAGCTACCTCTCCCGTGATGAGAATTGGGATGCTCTTCCATTTTTTTAATGCTTGGAAGGTTGGGTTGGCATCTACCTGAATCCTCCTATTTCTCTTTTTCAGAGAAATGTAACCTGATCATGCATGGTCAAAAAAACGACAAGTGATTGATTTTACTTTTTCCAATTTTTTTCCAGCTGTCTACATGTGCGAAATGGAAGAACAACGTCCTCAGTGCTTTGAGAATAAAACTGCAGAGAGCTGGTGCCCTCTGTCTGATTTTTTGCCTGCTTCAAAAGGAATAACATATGAACTCTGTGCTGGTATTATAGACCAGCCAGAGCTCTCTTTGGAAGAAATTGCTTGCAAGGAAATTTTAGAAGAATGTGGCTATGAAGTTCCTCTAACCAGTCTAAAAAGAATCACTTCATACAGGTTGGTGGAGCGATGATTTTCAAAGACTAATCAAGGTTTTGAAACATATGTTGCAATCTGCTAGATATTTTGACAGATTCTTTTTTCCATTGGGTTTGTGTGTTTCCTTGGTTTGTTCCCCCCCCCCTCCCAAGTTCCCAGTAAAAGTAACAGATTCTTCAAGCCTTAGTAGATCATTGCAATTAGGCTGCAGTCACAAATAGTTAGAATGACTGCCCTTTATCTTTGAGCATCTGGGAATTGGTGGTAGTGACATCTGCTATAAGATCTGGAAAGACGAAGGCAAGAAGAAAGAGAATTGTTCCTCTTTGAACTTCATATCTAAGGCTTCAGGGTAATAAATCTCTTGTAAAGCACTTATCAATTAATTATAATATTACTATATTGCCATATTCGAGAATGATTTGTGATATAAAAACAAGACACAGTGACCTGAAAAAAGTCAAATAATATCAATTGAACTGTGATAATACTGAAATATATTAGTCTGATCCCATTCTGGCAATCCCAAATAAAAAGCTCTCTGCAACACCATCATTTTTACAATCTTTCTAAGAACATCAAGGTGAAAGAGCAGCACTTCCCTCTAAGGATCCCTACCAGCTTCTCAAAAGCAGGGCAGGGAGCCCTTAAGCATCCTTTCACTGAATGAGCATAAGGAACAGGAAGAGTCGATTTACAGAAAGTGGTCCTGAAGATAAATGGGAACTAAATCATTTAAGCTTTCAAGAATAAAATCAGTATGTCGAATTATAAGTGAAAACCTATTGGTAAACTAGTACAAAACCTGCAGATCTGATGTATTGCTGTAACAATTCTGATCCATTAACCATCGGGTCATGTGTATTACGTTATAATAATTTAAACTCTAACATAGAGAAGGACATGATTTGTCATTGCTGAGAGTTTTATGACGCGAGTGACTAGATTAAATCAAATGAATAAGTAAAGAAATAAATGTTCTCCTGCTATTAATAGAGCTGAGTAAAGACTGACGGACCATAGTTGAGCAGTAGCTTTAAGTTACGGACTTGCTTCTTTAGGGGGAATGTCAACCCTTCCAGACTAAAATGCAAAGGAAGACAGAATGTAATAAAGGCATAATAAAAGCCAATATCTTGTCTTCCACTTGGTTTTATGTAATATAGAGAACTCCTTAAAACATACAATATTTATATAATCTAAGGACACATTTTTACTAAGCTATAATTCATTTTTTCAAAGCCACATACATACACAGTTTGAAGGTATTTTTAAATATACAGTAATTCATTTTTTCAAAGCCACATATAATAGAGATAGGAAAACAGAATCCTGTATATATGAATCTATGCTAATTTTCATATAATAATCATCTAGTGACTCTCAAAGGATCCAGTAGTTTCTCAGTTGTGCTATTTAATTAAAACACAAAAAAGAAAGGAAAGAAAGAGGAAGGAAGGAAGGAAGGAAGGAAGGAAGGAAGGAAGGAAGGAAGGAAG